CCCGTTACGTTTGCGTGCGGAGTTGGGCGTGGCAAGAGCCTTTTGAAGCATTTGAGGCGTTTGGAGGGTTTGAAGCCTCGCAAACGGCAGCATTGAACGCCCAGAAGAAGCCATTGCTGCGGCCGCGGGGTGCCCTGGAGCCATTGCTGTGGCTTTGTGGTGGCTTTTGTGTGCGGGCGTGGCGGTGTTGGGCTTGTTGGGGTACTTCGACTTTTGGAGCATTTGGAGGGTTTGGAGGGTTTGAGGCCTCGCAAACAGACGTTGAACGCCTATAAGAAGCTATTGCTGCGCCATTGCTGTAGCCTTGTGGTGGCTTTTGCCAAGCTGGGCGGACTTTTGGAGGGTGTGGAGCGCTTGAGGCCTGGCAAACGGCAGCCTTGAACGCCTATAAGAGGCCCTTATAGCCATTGCTGCGGCCGGGGGGTGCCCTTCAGCCATTGCTGTGGCCTTGTGGTGGCTTTTGCGTGCGGGAGTGGCGCGTGTTGGGCTTGTTGGGGTACCTTTGCCCTGCGGAGCTGGGCGGACTGTTGGAGCGTTTGGAGGGTTTGAGGCTTGGCAAACGGCAGCCTCGAAAGCCTATAAGAAGCCATTGCTGCGGCTGGGGGGTGCCCTTCAGCCATTGCTGTGGCCTTGTGGTGGCTTGTGCGTGCGGGAGTGGCGCGTGTTGGGCTTGTTGGGGTACCTTGTCCCTGCGGAGCTGGGCGGACTTTTGGAGGGTGTGGAGCGTTTGAGGCCTGGCAAACGGCAGCCTTAAACGCCTATAAGCAGCCATTGCTGCGGCCGTGGGGTGCCCTTGAGCCATTGCTGTGGCCTTGTGGCGGCGTTTGCGTGCGGGAGTGGCGCGTGTTGGGCTTGTTGGGGTACCTTTGCCCTGCGGAGCTGGGCGGATTGTTGGAGCGTTTGGAGGGTTTGAGGCTTGGCAAACGGCAGCCTTGAAAGCCTATAAGAAGCCATTGCTGCGGCCGGGGGGTGCCCTTCAGCCATTGCTGTGGCCTTGTGGTGGCTGTTGCCTGCGGGCGTGGCGCGTGTTGAGCTTGTTGGGGTACCTTTTGCCTGCGGAGTTGGGCGGACTTGTGGAGGATTTGGAGGGTTTGGAGCGTTTGAGGCCTGGCAAACGGCAGCCTTAAACGCCGAAAAGCAGCCATTGCTGCGGCCGTGGCGTGCCCTTGAGCCATTGCTGTGGCCTTGTGGTGGCTTTTGCCTGCGGGCGTGGCGCGTGTTGGGCTTGTTGGGGTACCTTTTCCCTGCGGAGTTGGGCAAACTTTTGGAGGAGGTGGAAGGTTTGGAGGGTTTGAAGCCTCGCAAACGGCAGCCTTGAACGCTTATAAAATAGGCCATTGCTGCGGCCGTGGGGTGCTCTTGAGCCATTGCTGTGTCCTTGTGGTGGCTTTTGCCTGCAGCGTTGGGCGTGGCAAGGAGTGGCGCGTGTTGGGCTTGTTGGGGTACCTTTTCCCTGCGGAGCTGGGCGGACTTTTGGAGCGTTTGGAGGGTTTGAAGCCTGGCAAACGGCAGCCTTGAACGCCTATAAGAAGCCATTGCTGCGGCCGGGGGGTGCCCTTCAGCCATTGCTGTGGCCTTGTGGTGGCTTTTGCGTGCGGGAGTGGCGCGTGTTGGGCTTGTTGGGGTACCTTTTCCCTGCGGAGCTGGGCGGACTTTTGGAGGGTTTGGAGGGTTTGGAGGGTTTGAGGCCTGGCAAACGGCAGCCTTGAACGCCTATAAGAAGCCAGTGCTGCGGCCGGGGGGTGCCCTTGAGCCATTGCTGTGGCCTTGTGGTGGCTTTTGCCTGCGGGAGTGGCGCGTGTTGGGCTTGTTGGGTAACAATAGAAGGGCTCAGTGGCATGCTAAAGGGTCAGGCTGCAATGCTGGAACGCTGACTGCCTAGAGGTGCTCTTGAGCCATGTCTGTGTGGCCTTGTGGTGGGCTTTGCGGGGGGGGGGGGGGGGGGGGGGGGGGTGCACGGGAGTGGCGCGTGTCGGGCTTGTTGGGGTACCTTTTCCTTGCGGAGCTGGCCGGACTTGTGGAGGGTTTGGAGGGTTTTGGAGCGTTTGAGGCCTGGCAAACGGCAGCCTTGAACGCGTATAAGAAGCCATTGCTGCGGCCGTGGGGTGCCCTTGAGCCATTGCTGTGGCCTTGTGGTGGCTTTTGCGCGCGGCAGTGGCGCGTGTTGGGCTTGTTGGGGAACAAGAGAGGGCTCAGTGCAGGCAAAGGGCAGGCTGCAATGCTGGAACGCTGACGGCCAGAGGGCTTGGTGGCAGCTGCCGCGAGGGATGTGCAGGCAAAGGGCAGGCTGCAACCCTGGAACAGCAAAGGCTGCCGGCCAGAGGGCGTGGTGGCAGCTGCCTCGAATGCCCTAACGAGAGAGGGCTATGTGCAGGCAGGCTGCAATGCTGGAACGCTGACCGCCAAGGAGCTTGGTAGAAGCTGCCGCGAGGGATGTGCAGGCAAAGGGCAGGCTGCAACCTTGGTGGAAGCTGCCGCGGAGGGTTTGAGGGGTTTTAGGGGTTTGAAGGCTGGCAAACTTTGAGGCCTGGCAAACGGCAGCCTTGAACGCGTATAAGAAGCCATTGCTGCGGCCGTGGGGTGCCCTTGAGCCATTGCTGTGGCCTTGTGGTGGCTTTTGCGTGCGGCAGTGGCGCGTGTTGGGCTTGTTGGGGAACAAGAGAGGGCTCAGTGCAGGCAAAGGGCAGGCTGCAATGCTGGAACGCTGACGGCCACAGGTGCTCTTGAGCCATTGCTGTGGCCTTGTGGTGGCTTTTGAGCCATTGCTGTGGCCTTGTGGTGGCT